GGTTACAGTTACAATCTCTGGGCTCGGGGTCATGGTGACATTTTCGCTCATATTGTTGATATTGGTAACACATGTCAACTTTGGAGAGTCCTTACACCCTATGTAAGGTGGACTGCCATGCAGCCTGCTTAAACCATTCACTAACCATTTCAATTCTTCCCCTTTCAGGCTCATACCAACATTAAATCCATAATGACACATGGGGATACAGTTTGTGGGTAATAAATACTCTGGACACAAAGCATATTGCCAGTCCCCTTTGTCCACACACACACACACACACACACACAACACTGGACTTTGTCCTAATAATCAAGCCTGAATTTGGGAATCTGTAATACTGCTTGGGGTCCATATTAATCAATTGGTTTTCTTTCATATTTCAGTTCTCTGCTGGCTGTGGCAACTGCACATCACCTATTCCTGTTCCTTACTGCCATAAAACACATTTCCATCACCATCGCTCCCAGGGTCATGCCCTACTCGTGACTTACAATTTAATTTTCCCGTTACAATGTCATACATGCAATCACACTTCCATTCCTCTGGTTCTGTTGCTTTCAGAGTCCATGAATAATTCCCAAAGTGGATGATGGCGGTGAACACCAGACTGTAAAGAACAGGAATCCAACACAACTTGCTGTAAGGGTTAACGATCGTGTTTAGGCTTCGTATAACTTCAATTGGGACCAGTGCTTCCACTTGCACCCCCCCTCCCTTTAATATCTACAACAGCACATATCTCATCTGTAATAATCACCTTGTAGGGTCTGACCCATCGTGGTCACAGTGTCACATGTTCCGGTAATATTTTCATCCGGACCTGATCTCCTAGGTTAGGAACACCAGCTCAGATGTTTCTGTGCTTCCTTTCCCAGTCTGATTCTCTGTCCGTCTGCAATTTCCCCCCTCAGCTCACGCAGCTGCTTTGCCAGTTCTTTCACAAATTGTTTAACCTTATCTTTACCATCGCACAGTGGTCCTCCCACTACCACACTCTCTGGCAGCTGCATAGCCCGCCCGATCACTAATTCAAAAGGGGGGCTAACCCCATTCCTTTTGCTGGGGTTGACCTCAGTTTCATTAGGATGACAGGGTGTACTCTAACCCACCCCTGCCCTGTCTCTGTCGGGGTCTTAGTCAGGCGAGCTTTCAGTGTCCAGTTCATTTGTTCTACCTGAACTTTGGGGCTTGTATGGGACATGGAATCTCTGTTCAATACCTAACAGGGTACATACTTAATTACTTTCCATGTAAAATGTGTCCCTTTTTCAGAATCTGCAGGAGAATGCTTCCACCCACACAGCAAATCTCAGATGAAGTGGCCATGTTAAATTACCCACAGTGTCCAGGGACATGCAGGCTCAGTCGGTTGACCATGGTAAATGTGGAGTTACAGCCACAAGGTGGGGTGAGTTGCTCTTCGGAGGGTCAGTGTAGACTCGAATGGGCCGAATGACCTGCTTCCATGATGTAGGGATTCTATACAGATTTCCCACTCTTGTTGAGTTTCTCTTTCAGTCACAGTGCCAGAGCCACACGTTGGTACTAGCATTATGCAAACAAGATGCATCTTTTCCATTGTTCACCCCCATATAAAATGGCTGCACATTTGCAACTGAAAAGCAAAGCCTGAACTCTTTTCCTTCATAATAAGGTCTGAAAACCAGTCACAAAACCACAACTGGGTATATAAAAAAAAATTCAGTAGTGAACTGGTTAAAACTATTTTGCATACGTTTATGGCAGCCACAAATAGCTGTAAATAAATAACAGATAATGGATGCTTGTCAGAGAATTATAACACAGTAATCCAATCAAGGAGTTTCAGATCAACCATGAAAACAGAGCTTGGAGTGTTTTGCACAGAACCATAACTGGACTTTCTCGGTGTATTGGCTTGAATGCATGACTGGGAAACTTGGGAGAGACCAGAGGTATCAGGGTTACTGTTTTGGAGTGGAAGAGGTCCTGGGAAAGATTTAACAGATATGTTCAAAATTATGATTTTTTTTGATAGAGTAAGGATGTTGAAACCATTTCCACTGGCAGGAGATCAAGAACCAAAGGTCAGAGGTTTGGCAAAAGAACCAGAGAGGAAATGAAGAGGAATTTGGTGATGCCATAAAGTGTTCTCTTCTGTAATGCACTGCCTGAAATAGTGCTGGAAGCAGTTTCAAAAGTTAACTTTTAAAAAGAAATTGGTTACATGCTCGAAAAAATGTAAAACCTTCATGGTTTGACAAAACAACAGGGTACTGAGATGAATTGAATAATTCTAAGAGTCAACACAGTCATGATGGTTTAAATGGCCTCCTTTCATAATTCCAAAGGCACTTAAGGCATTACACCTCCTGCGCATACTTCTGATTGTGTTTCAAATGGCTTCCAATCTAAGTGGCAATCCTATAACCACCCGTAATTCATCCCAGAAGACTGACGCTCAGAATCCTGCCTCTAAATTCAACAAGGCGGAGTCCAGAATTGTATTTCAAGGTGTTTTTCTTCACAGTTTAGTTTCAACAGATGTAATAACCAACATTTCACATACCATTATTATATTTTGTTGAAATTCTTGCAATAAGTTAGGAGTATCATTGTAGCCAAGGTGGAGATCATTTAAATGTACACATGACATGTTGAAAAGGAAAGCTCTCATCTTGCAGTAATATAGCAGTTTACTACAGCTCAGAGATTTCAAAGCACTTCACTTTCAGTGACTGTACACAGGTGAAATCACCAGACAATTGCGCACACACACACACACACACAATGAAACAAATGGTTAGTTAGTATACTTCTCACAGTATCAGTTAAACAATGGTGGCCAGGAGGACACCTGCTTTTCAAATTGTATCTGGGATACAGATAACGCACTTTTTGAATTTCATCCCTAGCCATCTCTCCACCTCCCATTGAATCAGAGTCATTACTAGGGAGAAGACAGTGTTTTGGTCTATCAGTTCCACGTTGGCTTACAACAGCACTGAAATCAGTCCCAGCTCTATCCCTGTAGCCCTGCAAATTTAATACCTTCTGGCGCCCATCCAATTTGCTTTTGAAATCATTCATCATCTCTGCATCACCTATACGGATAGGCAGTGAAGTCCAGGTCATTGCCACTTTGTGCATAAAAATATTCTTCCTTAGGTCTCTGCAGCCTCCCTTAGCCTAAACCTTAAATCGGTGTCCCCACATGGCTCAGAGGGTGGACATGTAAGTCCATGCACCTCTACAAATGAGCTGCTAACTAATGCCAATGTTTCATGTTTACCAATGCCAAGAAATACCTTTCCTACAAACCCAACTTGTCAACCAAGCCTCCAGTCAACCTCTACCTCTTCATTTCTAACTTAGTACCTAGCTTCCAGTGCCCATTTGCAGATGTACCTTGGGATATTGTTTGAGCTCAAAGCTACATAAAAGAATTTGGTTATGCATATAAACCAATGAGAGGTGCGGCATGGTGGCTTAGTGGTTAGTACTGTTGCCTCACAGCACCAAGGACCTGGGTTCGATTCCACCCTCAGGCAACTGTCAGTGTGGAGTTTGCACATTCTCCCAGTATCTGCGTGGGTTTCCTCCGGGTGCTCCGGTTTCCTCCCACAGTCCAAAGATGTGCAGGCTAGGTGGATTGGCCATGCTAAATTGTCCGTAATGTTCAGAGATGTGCAGATTAGGTGGGTTATAGGGGTATGGGTCTGGGTGGGATGCTCCAAGAGTCAGTGTGGACTTGTTGGGCCGAAGGGCCTGTTTCCACACTGTAGGGATTCTATGAACTCTAAGTAGATAAGTCAAATAACTCCTCCAAAAGGACTGAGCCACCAAGAACTCAACATTGCTCAGTAAAGCATTGGAGAGTTAGACATCCTGGAAGATACTAGCTTTGGGAAGCTAAACATACAGTCTTGTAGGCTGTAAGCAATTGAACCAAACTACTGTATCTCATTTGTAATTTTTTTTCATCTTCAGTCACATTTTTCACTTTTTTTTAAGAAAACAAAAAAGACCTTTGCTGAAATGCGAGTGTTGCTGGCAATGCTGGTATTTGTTATCCACCACTAATTATATTGCCCCTGAACTAAATGGCTTATGAAATCATTTCAGGAGAGTAGTTATGCAAGAGTCAACCACATTGATACAAGACTGGAGACACAAGGCCTGACCACATAATGATAACTGATTTCCTTCCCAAAACAACATTAGTGAACCAGACTAGTCCTAACTATTGATGATGGTCATGGTCCGTCCTAAGACTGGTGTTATCACCAGTTGTCATAGTAGAGCTGGAACCAATGTCTCAAGAACATTAATCTCGGTTATTAGTCCAGTAACATCTCCCGTGTGCCACAGTCCTCCTACCTGACCATTAATGCAATAGTTGGGATTTTAAAGGACTAATGTCTCTCAAAATGTATCAGTAATTTTACTGCACAGAACTTAAATCCTACAACTCACCTGGGCTCTTTACCAGAGATTTGACTGGTTTTATCTTTCAAACTAAATTATCAGCATCTGGAACCTGGACTCTCAAAAGACTAGTTAAAATCTTTATTCAGAACCGTGGTTAGAAATATTGGGAAGTTGGTCAACAATTCAAATATTAGATAACAAGGTGTAGAGCTGGATAAACACAGCAGGCCAAGCAGCATCAGAGGAGGAGGAAAGCTGACGTTTTGGGCCTAGACCTTCTTCAGACCTAGCTCTACAGTCACTGATGCTGTATTTCCAACATTTTCTGTATCATTTTGTAGGCTTATGGTTGACAGATTGTTTTGTTTTGATCTCTGTGGGGATATTCCTATCACTGAAGGACCTGGCACGTTTCTGAATCAAAGGCAAATCCTTATTTTAAGGAGGCAAAATATGTTCAAACCAAGATCTTGATCCGTGACAAAAAAAATAACTTCCGGAATGAGAAACTTTGAACAGAACTACTTCAACCATTTTGGAGGAAAAGCAACTGCTTGTGCTACATCAATAGTTAATAATTGCTTTACCTGTGATACTGTGCCTGCAAGAATTGAAATTCCTCCTTGATGCGATCACATGTCTCCACCACTGTAAACTTAAATGGCTGTCCTGGTTGATGAGGGGCCTTTGAAAGAAAAATAAAGATTTGCATTTATATAGTGCCTTTCATAATCACCAGCTGTCTCTCAGCACACTGCAGTCAGTTAACTACCTCTTAAACGCGGTAGCTGCTGTCGCAATATAGAAAACATGGCAACCAATTTGTCCGAAGCAAACTCCTGCAAAACAGCACAGTGATCATCACCTCTTTTTGTTTGCAAGGGACAAACAAATTGCTGGAAAAGTTCGGCAGGTCTGGCAGCATCTGTGGAGAGAAATCAGAGTTAACATTTTGGTTCAAATAACCCTTCCTAAGACTGGACACGAAACGTTAACTCTGATTTCTCTGCACAGATGCTGCCAGACCTGCTGAGCTTTATCAGCAGTTTCTACATTTGTCTCTGATTTACAGCATCTGCAGTTCTTGGCATTTTTTTTTTGAAATGTCGATTGAGGGATAAGTATTACCCAGGACACTAAAGCTAATTCAATTGCTCTTCTTCAGCAAAGTAGTCACAACAGTGAAGGCAGATGGTGCCTCGGTCTAATTTCTCAACAAAAATACAGCACTGGCAGTTCAAATAGTGCAGTGATCCCTCAATATTGCATCGGAAACCTCTATCTTTATGCCCTCAAACTTTAGTGAGAGACTTGAACCGACAACCTCGTAGTTTCGAGGCAAGCATGCTACCAACTGAATAACAGTCACTCTGATTAAAGAGCATCTTTAAACATACCATGTAGCAACGATCTTGGCTTTAATGCCATAGTTCGCATAATTTCTCATTCTATTGTGATTAGTAAACACAGCATGGGTGCCTGTGTATGTTTGTGTGCGAGGGAGAGGCGTTGGGATAACAAACCTTCTTCACACCTCACAACCACTGATAAGATAAAAGGCTGTAGTTTATATAGCTACTTCTACAAAAGGTTCAGTTGAGCATTGAGCATTAACGAGGCAATTCGAGAGAACCTGGGAATGCATGAGGCCCTGACGTGGGGAGGGTGGAAGATAAGTCTCCCTCACCCCCTCCCACGCTCACGAGTTTTATTGTAATGACTCCATGCTAAATAGTGATGGCGAGTGGTGGGGTGGGTGAGTGAGGGAGAGCAGAGTTACCACGCAACTATTGTTTGTGCTTATTTAACACGATGAGAAAAAAAGTAAAAGATTTCTCTCCCTAAAAAAAAACTAAAATTTTCATTCAAGCCAACAAATTAATGCAATGTACTCTGTAACAATAGTTGAGGATCCAACTGGAGCGAATCTGTCTGCAATCTTTCTGAAGGTTTTATAGACAATGTTTTACGCAGCTAAGTCGAAATGGCTTTGATACTCCGTTCGGTTTTCTTCACTTAATGAGATGGTCATTGTGGACCATGTCGGGCTTCAGGTCCAGAGTCTAAACGGGGTCCAGTTTGCTCCTTAATGCACTTTGGAATAAACCGTTTTGCTGTCTTCCAAATCTCCCAGTGTTACACGTGTAACATTCCGCGCACGAAAAAGTTATTTTTCTGCGATATTTTGGTCACATCTGACAAGGCGATTAACTCGAGATAGAAACGGAAACGAACTAAACCTCTGCGGAAATGTCACTAACCAATGCCACCTGCTGGAATTTCGTGCATTTATAAACAAAATCAACCTCCTTCTCCCTCCTCCCCCCAGCCCCCATCAAAAAATAACATTTCGAGTTATTTCCACGATCATCAGCGCCGTCGTGCACTGCATCTGAATGTCTAGGGAGGGATTAGGAAATCCCAGCCCTCCCCCAATAATTAAACAGGTTCTGAAAAGACAGGTCCTCAGCAACAAAGCACAATTCTTCTTTCCATTATAAAGGGGAAATTAGCGCTGCTTTACTTCCAGATCCGTGCCATAAAACGCCACTCATTCAGATTTAAATGCTACAAACTTCCACGGACCAGGAAACGAAATATATACAATAGATCGGTTAGTCAGCTAATCAATTTCATTCTGCCTGGCTCTGTGATCCATATTAAGATTTATCGTTGACATTGACAAGATAGAAATTGACAAGAAATAGGCAGGCTAAGACCATCAGAGACCATAACACACCACCACATACATGTTTATTTCCCTCATTCGCTTAAGATTTGCGACGTTGTTGAGTAAACTGGTACTTACGGGATGCCTGCCTTGTGGATACATCCTTGGATGTTGTTCCTCTCCCCTCAATACTCTCCCACTGCTTCTTAAATTAAAATAAATTTCTCACACGCGCGCAGCGATGTCTCCGGTGACTTTCTGAAGAGTCGTGGGAAGAAATGAAATAAACGTCAGTGGTAATTTTTCAGATTCTAAACATCACCAAGACGGGAAACGGAACGTTTTTTCGGTTTTTCACCACAAAACCATCTCTTCGGCGAATACGATCTGGGATCACATCGCCCGAAACACACGCGCACAGAAGGTCAGCAAAGAAATCCTGAGGGGTGGCAGCTCCGGACGCAGTTCGGGAGGCTGGGGTAAATCCAGGACTGTACAAAGGAAAAACACGATGTTGTGATGTCCATGAAACAAGACAGACAGAGAGTCCACCACTGCCGAGCCCAACTTTAAAACAAAATGTCACAAAGTCCAAGCTGCTGCCGGGAGTTAAAGCGGTGCCTTTAGAAACCAGAAGCCATTGAAAGTGTCATGAAAGGAAAGAACAAAACCCTTCCACAGGAAAAAGTTCATGCTTCAGGAGGGATGATCTGATCAGGGATGATACTCCAAGAAGTGGCCCCGTTTCTTACTCAATAAAACACTGGCTTCACTGTTGCAAACCTCCCGTCGCTGCTCAGCTCTCTTTGCAACATCTTTGAGAATTCCCTCAATTGGATACATACTATCCGGACCCTCCAGCCAATCAGACACCATCTCTCCCACGTGGGGCCGTTAGGTCACCCAAGGCGGTCAGCCAATCAAACGCCAGGCTGTTTGCCGATTGGTCAGAGCCGGACGAGCCGCCGGGAGAAACGGCCGCGCATAGGGCGCCGGGAGTTGTAGTCATCTCGGCCGCCGGCACCCTTTCTCCAGCTGGGTGTGATGAACTACATGTCCCGGCAAGCCCTTGGAGGTGCCGGCATCTGCGCATGCGCTCTCCCGCGCGGCGGGGCCCAGTGTCAATCAAAGTAACGTGGGGCAGTTTCTGGGGCCCTGCCCACTGCCAGAGCGGATTAATTATAGTGTAGTAGGAACAGACATTCTGCGGCTGTCCTGTTCTGCCTCAAACAAATCATTGTGATTTGCATTAAAGAGGGAAAGAAAAAAATCGCGTTAACAGGATTGTCATTTTGAAGTAGCTAGGACTGAGGGAGTCATTTTTTTTTGCTGTTGCTGGATTAATGAGTGAAAATATACCATAAATACCCAGATTTAAAGCTGTCTCCATCATGATTAGAGGGTACACACATTTAACATCTAAATACTTTTTTTCTGAAATAACAGCAACAAAATGGAACACAGGACTGACTGAATTATGAACAAAGGGTGGCAGACTTAGTTTAAGGGGAGCAGGGTCATCATCGGGTGGCTTGTTTCACTGTTGGAGTTGCAGTGTCTTTCCCCCCACCCCCAGCATTACTCATCTTTTTTTCTCTCTTTCCTGGGACGCCCGGCTTGCTCTTGTTTTCCCAGAAATGGTTTCGACTGGAAATGTGTTCTCCTGCTATCCTCGACAAGGGACGCATTGCACATTAAACAAGATGGGCCTGAGAGAAAAACAAACGCTGGCAAGCAATCCATTCTGCTTATGTATTTACACAATTTCCTATATTCACTTTTAAAGGGTATTATTGTCTCAGTGATCTTGATGATCTTGAGCCAAAACTCGAGTGAAAGGAAAGACTTGTTTGCCACAATAGGTTGGTTATTGCAACATGCACTGTAACTATTAAACCACATTCTTCTCAAACTGTCCAACACCCGATTTGGTACTGAGTCACATGAAACAGGAAAGTCCCACATCTCAACCCTTTATCTGTGCTAAATTAGCTGATCCCCGGGTTAGGTAGCGAGATAGCTGCACGTTTAAAATAGTCAAATTACCCGAGGGCTTGGCAGTTGTAAAGATCAGACCAGATTGCTGCTTCTGATTCACAGCCACTAACTCGAGCTGGCAAGCCGCACATGTGTGATGTCAGGTGCGGAGGCGACTGGTTTTCTGGCGATGCCCTTCACGGTTGAATGGCCTGTGAATACATGCTGTCAAGGTTCAGCATGAAGAATGGTCACTTGGGTGAAATGCGGGAAGGGTGACTGATATCCAATTCGGATGTAAATGGCATTGCAACTGCATCATTATATTAATTACATGGCGATATGACAGCAGCCTAGATGTATATAGTGTCCTTAACTCAATGAAACGTTCCAAGGCACTTCATAGGAGCGCTATAAAACAAACTGATATTGGTGCAGAAGACATTAGATCAAATGACCAAAAGCTTTGTCAAAGAGAATAAAAACCGAAAGAACTGCTGGAAATCAGAAACATGAACAGAAATTGCTGGAAAAGCTCAGCAGGTCTGGCAGCATCTGTAGAGGCTGAAACATTGACTGTGATATTCCTCCACAGATGCAGCCAGGCCTGCTGAGCTTTTCCAGCAATTTCTGTTTTTGCTTTGTCAAAGAGGTAGGTTTTAAGGAATTTCTTAAAAATTCTTTCATGGGATGTGAGTGTCAACTGGCCAGACCGCATTTATGCACATCCCTCATTGCCTTACTCGGCCAATTCAGAGGGCATTTAAGAGTCAATCACAGTGCTGTGGGTTTGGAGTCACATGTAGGCCAGACAAGGTAAAGGATGACAGATTTTCTCCACTGAAGGATATCAGTGTACCAGATAGGGTTTTGTGACAATCAACATGTTCACCATTGGTTTAGTTTTGAATTCCAGATTACTGTATTGAATTTAATTTCACCATTTGCCGTGGTGAGATTCGAACCTGCATCATCAGAACATTGACCTATATTTCTGGATTACTAATCCAGTAACAAGGAGAGATATAGAAAAGGAATTCCAGGTTTAATGGGCTAGGCAACTGAAGGTGTAGCCGTCAATGTTGGAGTGCTGAAATTGGAGAGTGCTAAAGAGGCCAATATTTCAGAATGCTGGGAAACTAAAGGGATTTACAGAAATAAGGAGGAGTGAGGCCATAGAGCGATCTGAAAACAAGGATGAATAAACAAACTTTCTTGGAAGTCAGCATTCCCAATAGAATTATCAATCCATTGTGTCAGAAAAGCAATGCAAATAAACAACTCCGGTTTAGATCTGGTTCCTATTACGTGGAACCCTATAACAATGTCACACACTCTGAAATTGATAACAAGGTGGTAGAGTATCACTTCTTTTCTGACAGTTAAAAACAAAGGGCAGTGACCAATGTTTGAAGGAAATGAACACACCCCCTTGTGACATGATGGAACTTTCTTCTGTGCAGTGAGTTGTGCATTGAAAAGTTCCAGTTGAAGGGATGGTGAAAGCAAATTCAAAGCCATTATTTTAAATCAATCTGCATCTCCAGACCAGGTAGCACTCGAACTAGGACCTTCAGGTTCTAGAGAGACCACACTGCACCGTAAGTATTATTTCCAATCAACCTGTTCACACATGTTATGGGTGGCATATAACTTGGTCCTTCTAGTCAAGAAGGAGGACCATTACCACTCTGCCACAAGACTCCTTAAAAGTAAATTCAATTAGGTTATGCAAAAGGGAATTGGGTAAATATGTTAAGGGATACGAATTGCAGGGTTTGCACAAACAGCAGGTTATGGGATCAATTGGATAGCTCTACAAAAGGGCTATTACAGTTACAATGGGCCAAGTGGCCTTCTTTTGTAATGCATTACTCTTTGATTCTATAATGATTTGTCCTGGCACCTTAAACTATAAAATGGAATGATCAGATGAAGGCTTTTGAAATACATTGGAGTCCAGTATTCACTTAAGTCAGGAAGCACTGTTGCAAACTGCACCTGTCATGAGCTAGCTTTCAATATTCTCCTAAACGTGCTATATAAATTCACTCCCTAAATCGTTCTGTGTCTCTCTTTTCTCCTTTAAGATCCTCCTTAAAACCCAGATCTCTGTTATAAGTAAGCTTTTGCTCAGCCGGCTCCTAGATCTCCTAGAAATTCTGTGCATTTTATGATTACACTTCTTGTAAAGTACTTTGTTTTTTTTAAATTAAAGATGTAAACGTTGTTTAAATATATGTGCATGTGTTTTCAGTCAACTTAATAGTTGATCCTGAATTCTACAAGAAACTGATCACCATCCCCCCTAACCACAAACAGAGACTGTAGTGGCACCACCTGTGGGCGAGAATATGGGCATTACTGGCAAGGTCAGCATGAGCTCGTTTCTGTTTGCATTGGAACTGACTTGCCCATTTCAGAGGGCAGTTAAGAGTCATCCAAATTACTGCAGGTCTGAAGTTGCATGTAGGCCAGACTAAGTAAGGATGGCAGATTTCCATCCTAAAGAGCATTTATGAACCAAATGGGATGTCCAGTAATTGATGATAGTTATATGATCATCACTAAGACTGGTTGAATTAATTGAATTTAAATTCCATTGTGAATTTTAATTTGTGTGCCCAGAGCAATAAAAAACAGAAAGTTCTAGACAAATTCAGCAGGTCTGGCAGCATACGTAGAGAGAGAGACAAAGTTAACATTTCAAATCCAGTATGTCTGGAAACCATCAGATCTGCTGAGTTTCTCCAGTACTTTCTGCTTTCATTTCAGATTTCTAACATCCACGGTATTTTTACTTTATTTGCACAGCGCAAAACCCTGGGCCTCTGGATAATAGTTACTAGAGGGGTAGTACTGGTAGTTAGTTGACTGGTATGCACCTCCTGTGAGAACAGGGAGAGGCCAAATATCCCTGACAATTATGTTTGTGGGAACTTTGTCTGCCTGCAGCTGCTCTCAGACCGCATGGATCATTTGGAGAAGTAATTGGACTCACTGAGTAGCATACAGGAATCATAAAATCTCTACAGTGTGGAAACAGCAAGTTTTACAGGTAGGAGTTTCAGGGATGTGGTCACATCAAAGGTTCAGCCAGATAGGTGGGTGACTACCAAGAGAAGCAGGCAGCCAGTGCAAGTGTCCACTGTGGCTATTCCGCCCCTCAAACAGGTGTACTGTTTTGAATACTGTTGAGGTGTTGACCTCTCAGGGGAAAGTAACAGCAGCAATCATGTCAGTGGCACCACGTTTAGCTCAGTTTTTACAGCAGGAAGAGTCAAAGCGTAGGCAAGAAGTCGTGATAGTGGACGCTATAGTCGGGGGCACAGACTGCTGTTTCTGTGGCTGCAAGTGAGACTCCAGGATGGTGTCTCACCTCCCTGGTTCCAGGGTCAAGGATGTCTCTGAATTTGAGCGGGATCTTCTGATAGGGGAGGATGAGCAGCCAGAAGTCGTGGTCCATATCGATACTAATGACCCAGGCAGAAAGAGATAAAGTCGTGTAAAGGCAATTCAGGGATTCAGGTCGAAAGTTGAAAAGCAGGACCTCTAGGGTTTTAATCTCAGATTATTACCTGTGCCACATGCTAGTGAGGCCAGAAATAGTTAATACAGTTGAATGTATGGCTAAAGAGCTGATGCAGAGGTGGGTGACTTTAGATAGTTCTTCTAGGGCAGGAGAGACCTATAGGAGAAGGACAGGTTACACCTAAACAGGAGGGAAACCAGAGAAATTTGCTAGTGCCACTCCAGGGGATGGGAACCAGGGCAGTAGGTCAGCATGTGGAGTGATTGATGAGAAGGTAGAGATTAAGTCAAGTAAGTCAAGTATGA